TTTAAACTAACATTAAAATTTCGTAATGTCAGTTCCATTATTAATTTTCAATTAATCATAATTTACAATTGATGCAGAATAACATGAGCTGATGTTTTTTTAAATTTATTTTATGGTGTATTATTAACTATTATTTTCTGCTACTGTTTGGCATGTAGTGCCAGCTATTCTTGATACAATCCATTCTAAAACATTCGGGTTGTAATGAGGTATTAAAGAGGAACTTCATTGAAATGAAACAATATTTCACCTTTTTTAATATCAAATTTAAATCTGTTTTCAAAATGACGAGTATGTTTAGTGTTATTATGTCGATCAAAAGAATTTACTGATCCATAAACTTGTCAATCATGGTTGTACATTAATAACTTCCTAAATCACAATAAATAAACAAAAAATGTATCATTTACTTATTTACTCATAGCTGTTACTCTCAGTAGAGTATAGGTCGTTTGGAGCTCCTCAAGGGTTACTTCCGGCCCCAAACCCGAATAAAGAGGGAGTGTCAGGCATGTGGTTGACGACCCTAAAACTAACTCGCTAAAAATAACACTAACCAGAACAAGTAATTCAACATTTATCACATTTCATGATAAATGATGTATTTACATTCAATTCATTTCATAAATCTCCTTATCAAGAAAAAACCCAATGAAAATAATATAATATCTAATATCTAGAACAGTTAAATTGTTGATTTTTACAAAGACATACAACAACAAAAAATTCACTTTATTACATAACTTATTCCCAATCACTCTACCTTTATTTTACTCTCCTATTTTATTATATACATATTTCAATAATTATTTTAATTAACAATGACCTACATTTTTTCTATTATATACATGTGTGTGTTAATTTGAATGGTTACTATGTTCACGTGGGTACTTCTGTAGTCGAGTGTGTATGTGTGCACATAAAGATATTTATCATTTTTTTATCATTCTATGAAGATCATAATAAATACTGGTAACATGTTGTTTTATTTTACAGTAGATTTATCTGAATTTATCCATCTTTTCATTAACAGATCTAATACGTTTTGTTAAATTCAACTTTATCGTTATTTAATTCATTTGAAAGAAAAACAAAATAAAATAAAACAAAAAAGAGAGAAAAGAAATTCATTTCAACATTTTCTTTGCTTCATTTTTATGTTTTGCTAATGACTATTGATAGAGTTTATTTTTAACTTATCATAACGAAGTAATGAATCTGTAGCGGATAAATATTTTCTATTTCTGTTTTTGATTGAAATCATGAGTCAATTGAAGGTAGATCACCATGGAAAACCTGGAAGCAACCCGTGAGATTTGAACCCAGGACCTATCAGTCTCGCGTCAGGCGCTTGACCAACTAGACCACTTAGCCGGCATCCAATGGTGTTGATGTCTAACTTGAACCAATCCACGAAATTGCGCGACCATCTTCCATTGTACTGAGGTAGACACTCATTTCTACCCGACATGGAGTAGCTGCCATACTAGGACGAAACGACCGTCCAATGCTTTCAGGTTTCCCATGGTGGTCCACCTTCAATTGACTCATGATTTCAATCAAAAACTTAACAATCTCCACAACACCTAAACTGATATTTCTGTTTTTTTATAATGATTAATTTTTTCGTTTTAATTCATGAAAAACAAAATAAAGTGTAAGCATTAATGTAACGTATCAGAAAATATACAGCAATATAACTATTTTAAGCGAAGATGTTATAGTGAAATTCAAGATGCATGTTTCATCTTATTTAAGACTCATAAGCTGGATGTATCTGCCTTTCATAGTTGATGTATACTACTTATAAACAATTATTTATAGAAAGTTAATAATAATCTGCTCGATTGTACACCTAAATATCTACATTAATTAAATAAAAATCTTTAGAAAATGTCCGTTATGGTAAAAACTTGGTTCGTAAATAAACAGTGTTAACTATTTGTATTAAATTAATTATATGAAGAAAAAATCGACAATGATACTAAATCATTGAATATAAATGAATGCGAATTCTAGAAAGCTGTGATCTTTCATGAAAAAATTCATTTGAAAGAATAAATGAGATTTTTGATTCGTCTTGTTTAATTCATATTGGTATTCGTAGGTTTAGTAAAGAACATTCATGTTTGTTAAATATGTCATGGATTAAAAAAAGAACGTAATTCCTTGATGATAAATGAAAAGTGAATAATCACGAAGATGACAAGACAGGTTAACATACAATATGACATAAGGTCTATAACATGTTCTCAATCTAGTAACAAATATACAATCGATAAATTAATGTAGCACCGTAATGTATGCAGAATAAAATAATTAATGCAAAGCTTTCGTACTTCCTAATTAGATATTAGAATTTAGAAACCATTAAATGAACTAATAAAGGAAATAGTTAACAAACAGAAATATACTAAAGGGTCACGTAAAGTATTCTGTGGACGAAGGACCTTCAAAATTATACAAGTATCTGATATGAAAACAATAAGAGTAGTAATAATACTAGATTAAGCATCAGATAAGGATAGAGTAAGGATGTGTGATGTTTGAATATACAGTTCAAATTTTATCTACTATATAACCATAACTTTTGTTATTCTAAGTTGAAAAATAAGAAATCTATTTAGATTTGGCTGAGGCTTGTAAGTCACTTCGAAATAATGAGTTATGAGAATCAATTAAATATTCGAATATCAAACTCATGACCAATTTTTTATCAACCTCATAGAATGTATTTTTTCAAGTCTGTCAAAGATGAAATTCTGGCTCCAGCTTATGTACATTAATCGTATGATTTAGGTGAGCTGGTAAATGTAAGCAAGAGCAACAAAGAATAAAACTTATCTTTTTATATTTAATCACTATTGAAAATAAAGTACCGTTCAAATGACTATTCATAGTGAAATTATTCATCTTAAATAAAAAATTAGATATGGTTTACAAATCAGTCCTACTGTCTTCAGTGAGTTACTATCTCACAACAGACCTGGTTGAGGTCCAGTGGTCACTGTTTCTCACCATAACTACTGAAATAACCTATTGGAGACCGTCACCATATGATGATTATCATAAGAAAAGAGTTTTGTAGATATCATAATAATTTAATGGTTGAGTTCATGAGTCAAATGATGCTAGACCACCATGGAAAACCTGGAAGCATTGGGAGGCCGTTTTGTCTTAGTGTGGGACTTTTCAGCATTGCACTAGCTTCTTTTTAGAACTTTTCATAATTTCTGAAAAGTACTTTTTTACCTTTTGATATAATATGCTTGAAAAATTCATATCTACATCCCAATACTATTTTTCTGTTAAATTATAACATAGTTGCTATTTTGCCATTTATTTTTAGAAAATCTGTTGTATATATGAAATTTTCTTATAAGCTTTATCCTTTAGTTATATGTAATACAGTTCAATCTTTACATTTATTAACATCCGTTTATAAATTTCTAAATATAAATGAAAGTATATACATTCCTATAGAATACAACAGTTGGTTAGATTACCTAGTAGATAACTAATGAATTAAGGTTAAATGAAATTCTCTTTAAAAATGAACAACTTTAACTACGAAATATACTCTAACTTTATGAAAGTTTCCATACGTTTCTCTATAATTTAACCACTAGTACTTAACTACAGACATTATATTTTTAAAGTTTTTTGGAGATTCTTTAATTCCAAACTAGCTTGGAGTAGACTCTTATACAAATAATATGCATGTACCCATCATCGAATAACTTCCAAAAGAATAGCACCCCAGTTTAAAGGAAGCCCAGATGCTGTCATTTAGAATGCAACACTATCAAAATAATTCACCCAATTTGTAAATCTCAACGATCATTTCATAACAATAAATGAATCGATTGAATGATCAACCAACCTGGATAATGTTGACAGTAAAGTAAATGTTGTCAATTATGTTAAATGATAAATTGAAGGTAACAATATGAGCCACTGAAATCCAGTTCACTGGTTTTAAGGAATTGTGCATTAGTTAAAAATGCATAGTTCAACCACTTTTATGTTTATGGCTAGACACAATTAAGAAGTTCAAAATACTACGAAACGGATCTTTAATACTATTTAGTTTCCAGTGATTCTTAAACTAATATCGATTCATCATGGGATCTATCTATATATATCTGATATTAATTATTATTTCAGTATCTATTAACTAGTGTTTTTTTCATCAATTATAATCCATTGTATTGATAACCACTAAAAAATAATCAGTTAATCTCTATGTTAACTGAACGTTTAAGTTAAAACAAACAAAAAAAATTAAACCATGTCAAGTTTTTAATGAAATGAGCAAGATTATCATTAAGTTATGAAATTCCCTATCAGATTCATGAATAACCAATCAAAATTATGCAAAATTTTAAATATTATTTGTCAAAAATGTTTTTTTTTCCAAATATTTTCTCATTCATAATTCTACAAAAAATGGAGGAAATTGATGTTTTAGAGAAGAGAAAATGCTTTTCTGTTTTTACCCTTGCCCATTAATAAGATCATTTCAGATATATGTCATTTAAACCTGTCATTTTTTCTTAAGTTTGTATACAAAAATTTAAAATGACTTATATTTGAAGGACGATTGTGGATATTATAGTAATTTTAATGGTTGAGACCACCATGAAAAACCTGGAAGTATTGGATAGGAGATGAGATCGTGGATGTACACTGCTGAGGAGTCCCACCATAAGACGAAATAGCCGTACAGTACTTTCAGGTTCTTTATAGTGGTCTAGCTTTAATTGACTCATGATCTCACTTATTTAAATGACTTACATTTGTTTTGTATATACATACTTACAATATAAATTATGATTGTCAAAGTGCCAATTAAAGGTTTAATAAAGATTATATACATATATCAAATAAATAATTTCATGAATATATAAAGTTATTGTTTGAATCAGTAATCAAATAGGTAATATATTTTTTATTATATATATATGATTTCATCTTTGATGTATGTTTTCTTGTTCCAGAGGGGAGAAAATGTGAGAAAATATAGAGAGGAAGTAAGTTTGTGAAAATTCTATCTATAAGAATGTGAATGCTTTAAATGTTTAAATGTGTTACATGTGGATTTAGATATTGATTTAGACAAATAACTGTAGTTGCAAAAAATGAATATACATTATTTTAGTTTTATAGTCTGAAATGTTCATGCTATGAAATTGAAATGAACTCAGGACCTTAGATTATACGTGTGAACCCTTAACCTTTAAACAACTGAACCAGGTTCTGATAGTATTTGAGTCAAATTTTGATCAGTCAACAATATTGTATAACTGTACAGTTTCCAGTGTTTTTAACGGGTATGTTTTACAAACTCGAAACGGTTAGTGATCCCAAATAAGTTAAGCAATCTCCATAAATGCATACTGACAATTACAGATATTGTTCAATAAATACGTTGTATTATGGTATGTAAAAACATTCACGAAAGATGATAGAACAGTGTCCTTTAGACAGACTATAGAAAAGCTTTAAAGTACCCACAATAATATGTTGTAAGTAATTACAGGAGATTCGAATAAATGATAAAGAATCGTTAACACTCAAAGTAGGATTTATTTTTCAACTTATTATTATTATTAGTATATATATATATAATGTTCGACTTTTAAATTACATCGTGTTCTTATGGACTGTATTGACCATAATCTCTAGTATATACTATAGCGTATGCTACGAAGGAATATAATTTGTTTTCAGTGTTAGCTTTGCCTTATATGTTCATGGTCATCTATATTTAAATACCTAATATAATTATTGACAAAGGTTAGACAACTTACTGACTTCATTATTATAGCTACATAAATGTGTTTTTTATAATAAATCATCTATTTGTTTCATTTTAGTTTTGTTTATGTGTTTGTCTTGTACTGAATTATTACAGAGTGGAGCCAGAATTAATATATCAGATGGATCTAGTCCAGAAAGAATTGTCACTATAACTGGAACAACGGAACAAATTTATGTTGCATTTACACTAATGAGTCGTAAATTTGAAGATGTAAGCAAAATGTATTTGATAATATTTGACTTAATCAGAGATCTTTACTAGATCAATTACTTTTATTATTATTATTATTATCATTTTTATTATTATTATTATTATTATTATTATTGGTGGCTTTAGTACAACATAAAATTATCAGCACAAAGTAATACAAGATTCCTCTTCTTATTTCTTGATCGATCCTGACGATAAATATTGAGTAAGTGAGCTAGCAGTTTAGTAATCAACATCTGATTAATGTATATTGTTTTCGACGTATATTGCTAGCAACCACGATGTCTCTGATTGTGCTCTTTCTTAACTTGTAGAGCGAAATATCGTAAATTTTTCACAAACACATCTCAATAAGTTTTGTGACTGATAGGCATATTGATGTGTTAAGACAAATAAGAAAATCAGATAACTTGTTGAAATATCTAGATGGCAGGAACAGATAGTCCAGATTTTCAAGCAGGCCACCTTCATGTATAAAATGATATTTTGTAATATGTTCTGGTCGCACTATCTGTGGGTAAAAGTTGATAAGTGGTTAATCAATATTCTTAAAAACTTCAGCTAAATATTTTAGTAAATTTCAATGATAGAAATGCGCAAGAAGTGAAAACGGACGCTAATAATTTCACGTTTATTTGCTTCACAAAAAATAAGAATAAACGATCTTGTATGAAGTTATGTAGCACAATGAATTGAGCATTTGTTAGATAGAATTTATTGCTATTAAAAGCAAGTGTAACAGAAATGGGATCATTTAAAATCATTTCATCATCCTGCAAACGTAAATGTCCCACTTTAATTATCACTACCTATTATAATATGCTTGTCTGGATGAGTACTATATAATGTTTCATGATCTATGATGGTCTCTCATAGATATAATACCAAAATGTCATAGTTTTGTTTCTATATTTTGATGAACATCATTTGAAGGAATAACAATAAAAACATTTCCCTCTTTAGAATTCTTAATAAAATATTTAAATACATATTTTTGTTAAAACTTTAGGATTTTACACAAGGTTTATTACGAATGGGTGATGAAACAGTCAATTGTCCTCCAGTGACCATACGTTTATTAGTTCCAGTAGCTCAATGTGGTTCAATAATCGGTAAAGGAGGATCCAAGATTAAAGATGTTCGTGAGGTAAGATGGTGAATTGCGTTTTGTGATATATTGCCTATTTCTTGATATTCTCATCTCATTTGATTAGGTTTTAGTGAGTTCCATTTTGTGGATCAATAGTGATAATAGTTATTACTTTGTATTGCGATTTTTATTATTTTTCTTTGTGTTTGGACATCGTGGATCGTTCGGATAGCCTAGACGCTGTGTATGACTCAAAATCAAACACGTAAAGATATAATCGGCAAATGCAATACATTAAAATAACAAGTATAACACTTACTTACTGATGCCTGTTGCTCCTAATGGAGGATAGGCCGCCGACCGGCATTCTCCAACCAACTCTGTCCTGGGCCTTCTTTTCTAGTTCCATTATTGTTATTATTATTATTATTATTATTATTATTAGCTTTATTCAATATTATAATTTTGGTACAATATAGAATTCTCAGCGCAAAGTATTTCAACAAGTTTCCGTTTCTTTCTTCTTGGTCGGTCCTGGCGATAAATATTGAGGGATCGCCAGTTAGATGTTAGCACTTCAGTGAATGAACAACTGAATAATGTACATTCTTTTCGTTGTATATTGCCAGCAACCATATTGTCTCTTATTGAGTTTTCTGTAACTTTGACAACGAAAGGTTGTACACTTTTCAGAAACGCAGCAGAATAGGTTATGCGATTAATAAACATAATGATATATTAAAACAAACAAAAATAGATAACTTGTTGAAATATCTAGATGGCAGGAACAGGTAGCCCAGATGCTCAAGCAGGCCGCCAATATCCATCCAATTCTTGTTCATTTCTCTCATGTCTGTTTCCATTTCCCGGCGTAATGTGTTCTTTGGTCTTCCTCTTCTCCTTTGGCCTTGAGGATCCCATTTGAGGGCTTGTCTTGTGACGCAGTTGGGTGCTTTCCTCAATGTGTGTCCTATCCACTTCCAGCTCTTCTTTCTGATTTCTTCCTCCGCTGGGATCTGGTTTGTTCTGTCCGTGGTAGGTTGTTACTAATAGTGTCCTAACTACAAAATAGAGTTAAATTATTTACATCAAGCAATTTAGTTGGATGTTGCATCGAAGACACACTAGTAAGTACAGAAAAGGGTACAAATAAATCTAATAGATTGAACAAGATACTGTAAATAGATACCTTATGCAAAAGAATATTCTACAACATTGATAGTAACAAAGTTCAAAGAGTTGGAAACAATTCGTTACGTATAGAGTAAACGCTGATAATAATTAAGAATAAAATGAGTTAAGCTCAGTTAATTAAAATAAGATTACTGAACTAGGAGGCAGTTTAAATAAAAAAACTTAATCATGTAACTGGTTGAAGGAAAGAGTTGAACTAAATTTTATAATGTAATGAAGGAATATTTGTCATCAAGGCAGAGAACGACTTACAACCACCTCCTTTTAAACACATAAATCAGTTTTCTGACACCTGATAGAACAGGCTCCAATAAACTTCAGAAGATTGAAGCTTGACTGTTTAATATTCATCCTGATAGATTATAAGGTATCAACCTGATATCTTGTATCCAAGATATGTTTAGTAACTGCGCTAGTCTCTCATTTATTTGAAAACGTTTTGTAACATTTACAAAAAATCTACAAAATGCCTCCTTTCCTGTTTGACCAATGTAGCTATTTTTGGCAGTTACACCCAAATTTATAGACGCAATAACATGTATGGCATGTTTTCGACCTACAATTGAGATATTGAACACGGTTTTCTAGTATTATAGTTCTTACATAAAAATTAGTATGATACAACCATCTATGCTTTAATTGGTTTAACCAGATTGGTTATTATTCGTTTAATTAGAGAGGACCTTGGTTGTGAGTATTTATATGTGATAAAAACTTGAAAAAACATTAGTCTTATTGAAATCAAATCAGTATCCAATTTTTACTTCATCTAAACTTGCGGTTGAACTTTTTGTTGACTGTGCAAATATTTATGTTCATAACTGATGTTTGAATACATGTAGAGAAGAAAAAACTCTTTTAGTTTGTTAACATGCTTAGAAACTATTAGATAACATGTTGAATATCATGTGTTCACCTATAATTATCAAACCTTGTTTCATGTTCAAATATATATGCATTGTACATTGTAAACCTTATTTTCAGTCAATATTGACATTAGTCAGTAAGATAACTCTATTTGAAAGATATTTTGCCTAATTATTCACAAGAAACATACAATATTTGTGACAAGATTTTCTTCAATGAAAAATACATAATTTTCAACTATATTTACAGTTGACTTGATTTATTACTACAGTATCCTATTAATGGATAAAATGTTGTACTGTGTCATAGAAACAAATAACAAACTCAGGAAATAGTATACTATAAATTTAGGTCACATAGATTATCATCTCATTTAGTTAACTTGTAATATTAATCATAATTATTCAACTATTCAATGAACAACCATAGTAAAGTAATCTCAAGTGTACGAATTAAACTACATTCAACTATTTCACTAAACATACAAATAGGAAATCTTTCAACTTAATGCTTGGTTCAATGAATCTTTTCTTCTTCTTTTTTTTTAAAAACAAAAATCTAACATTTTCAGGAATACTCTATTCGCACTTCCTGTTCCTAATTATCATTATTACTATTATTAGCTGATTTGCATGATGTTCCGTTTCATTTAATTGGTAATAGAGATGTGAATGATTTACATAGTATGAATGTATTTTGATTATAGAATAAAATTATGCAAATTATCAAATGTTATTTATTTATGAAAAACGATTTAAAATGAACAGAGGCAACTTTTAAAATGAAATAGTCTTACAGGGAAAATGTATTTTGTTGAAAGAACAAAACAAACAACAACAAATTATAGGTTGTTAGAACAAGAATATACTACTTTTTATTACTGAAATTATTGAAAGCATATGTCAATAAGCTATAAAATTGAAAATCTTATATGTCAGTTGTTGTTGTTGTTGTTAACTTATACTTAAAATTTAAAGTGATTTAATCTTAAATTCTCTTTGCATTGTGTGCTTGTATCGCCTTATTGTTGTTTACGACTGTAATTGATCAAATTCCTATTGGCACATGTGCATTGGGTGACGGTTGTCTCGATAATGACTTAAGTCACAAGCTTTTTATGCAAAGATGGATGATGATCACCAGTGAAATCCAGGAAGCCTGTTTCGTCCTATTTGGGACCCGTCAGCTGGATGTACCAACATCAACTATTGGATGTAGGTACATCCAGCTGACTAGTCTCAAGTAGAACGAAATAGGTGTCCTGGATTCCGCTGTTAGCCACTATCTATCTTTGTTTATAATGCTTGTGACTTAAGGCAATATCAAGGCTATCCGAATAGAATGCACATATGACAATACGAAACTGATCAATTGCAGTCCTAACCATCAATGGAAAGATTCAAACAAACAATACAAAAATGAATTGATGCTATTTCATGTTTTCATTAATCATTTAGTTAACTGGTGCATCAATTCAAGTTGCTAGTGAAGCTTTGCCGACATCCACAGAAAGAACAGTTACAATATCAGGTACAGCGGATGCAATTTCCAAATGTATTCGATTATTGTGTGATATATTTTTAGAGGTATGTGATTTTTTTTAATTCACTTCGTTCGTTTACTTTTACACTGACTAAAATATTTTTCCCTAACCAATTTAAAGTTTCCTGTTTAACATTATGGTGGAGTTAGAAATTGCGATATCGATTTTTAAAGAAATAATTAATACGTAATGGACTTTGGGTGATGATCTAAGATACAATTTATAATTTCATAGTAAAAAGTTATAAGATCTTATTGAACTATTATTTAGTTTCTTTATCAGAATGAGGTTTGTGTAGAGTGTAGTAATTTTAATAGTTGAATTGGTGAACAGTAAACGGTGGATTCCAATCCGTGTTGAGTAGAGAAAGTTATCTACCTCAGACAATGGATGAATGGTTACTCATACATTCATGCATCCATGGAAGTTAGACATTAAAACCGTTGGGTGCCGACCAGCTGAGTGATCTAGAGGTTAGGCGTTTGCGCGTGAGACCGAAGGTCCTGAGTCCAGATCACGCGTACAGGACCATGGATGCGCACTGCCTAGGGGTTCCATACTATGATGAGATGGCCGTCCAGTGGTTCCAGGTTTTCTATGGTGATACTATGATAAAGAGGAAAGACATCTGCAGGTAGCATGTTAATTTAAATTACTGACTTAAGAGACGAAGTAGCTTAGCTTAGTTTTGTATTCCATTAATCACAGAAGCATTAATTGTTTCTCGTAACCTCTTAGTTCAATATGAAAATAAAAGACAGTAAATGTTGTTTAGTTTTAGCTACTGTGAAAAGTGTTAAGATATAGTCTGTAGTATTTTTTTTAAAAGTCACAATAAGATTTGTTATATCAAAACGTCTTGATGTGAAATAGAAACACAGTTTTAATACTCGATTAAGAATATAAGATTTTTCAATATAATAGCTTTTCAGTATGTCGTTTGTTTCACAGCAGTTTTCTACATCATTTATTAAGAACAAAATTTTACTAACAATTGTTATCGCTTTCAATTCACAGTGCCCAAATAAAGGTCCGGTCATTCTTTATCGACCAAAACCCGTGATTGGTAATCCAGGATTAATATGTCCTGCCACTACATTTTCATCTGGTTTACTGCATTCAAACTTGTCTGGACTTCCACTTTCAGTGTGCGAGGTTAGTTAACATGGAATTCGTTTTGTAAATGAATATTTAAAGTAAATTAACGCCTTTGCTCATCATGTTTATTTGAAGTATTTAGAACAATATATCATTTCATTTGAATATGATTAGTTATTGTTAACGTTTGTAGCTTCATAAGTGAGGCCACCAAATGACTCATCATCATCAACTTCTAAAGTCGATTTTTGTTTTTATAAGTGTAAATGGCATCAGAATACTCAAAAATCAGAAGAATTACCATTAAAGCAGCCTAAAATAACCTATTCCACACAATGATCCCGATTAAACCAGAAGAACGTCTTGCTTTCCTACATTATCTTTTCAGTATACATTCTAACTTCAAGTCAAAAATATATAGTTATTAATTTGGTATAATAGAATCTTTATAAAGTATATATGTCATGACAGGCATACATTAGTTAAATAAGACCTAGAGTAACTGTCTATTAGGTCGAGTGAGTATGTTCAACTCTCGAAAAAGGGTGTCAGAGAAAGATCCATTGGATTTATATATATATATATATATATATATGAGCTAAGTCGCTGAGGGTTTTAATTATAAAACAACAATCATCTGATGTAAAGTATTCAGTTTCAGAAGCCTTGAAAGTATGGTGTTGTTAATTTATAACCTAGATGGTTCATTTTATGATGACTTCATTTAAACCAATATCCAGTTAGTAATTTTATTTTAGCTTTGAATTAATGTTCAGAGAAACAGTGGTAAAATTATACGTTTGTTACACTGGTAAACCTTTTACTAAGAAAACAGAAATGAAAAACAGAACGAAAATGGAATACATGGACGGTTTATTCTTTATATATATATATCTTTACCTTGTACATATTATAAGAACTTTCATCATCGTCATTATTTGGCTCCCTTTCTTTTTTCTTCACACTGCGAAAACTATACAGAAATCATCATTAGACTGAAAATTATAAAATAATGAAATGGGAGAGTACAGAAATTTAGTCTTAAAAGACAACACTTGATCGGACCATTAAATTTAACTATAAAACATGGTTTCGTGTTCATAAATAATCATTTTATATTTTGAAACAATAGAATACAAAGTTCTGAAGAATAATTATAAACAGCCTGAAAGGTCAGAAGCTTTCAATATATCTATAAAATTACCGTAAAATTGTAGCGAACAAGAACACGGGTGGGGACAACTGAATGTACCTAGAATAAAATTACAGACTATCTCAATAAAATCCGAATACCATAAAGTCAATCGTCAATTTGCAAAATATTAATGCATCATATCAAACTGGACTGTTTCCGTTGCAAACACTAATCCATTGTCTCCCATTCCATTGTACATGCGTTTTCTTACAAATTCCATTGTGCTCTCGCTCTTCCTTTCTTGATCTTCACCTCATCTTCTGCTGCTAGATATTACGTTTTAACTCGAGACATATACTACTTATATCAATATAAGTAGCACACACCACAAGCTAACTCTAGACACCATTTACTGCTGTATTCAATTGATCAATGATATTTCTCTCGATATTATTTAACCAAATAAAGAAGGAAACATCAATCAGGAGCTGAATATTATACTTTTTTATTTCGCTTCTTTCTTTTTCCTCTTCAATTGTTCAGTATTGTATTCAATAAAAGAAATTTAACATGCGACTAAATATAAATCATACTACATTTGACTGGAATATTCTAGTCGTTAAGTGTACTAAAAAGAAAAATGGTGCACTTTACACTTGAATGTAAACTAATTTATAAAAAGAGAAAGAAAAAGAATTGAAGTTTGTTATACATTTTATTCACATTACATTGTTTGACTATTCTTAAGAATGAATATGATAGAAGAAGATATAAAGCCTACACATTATTTTAGATATAGTTTTCTTTGAAGTTTAACAGAGATTGTTTAAATCTCTTCGTTAAATTCAACAACATACATTCTTTCTTAGAACAAATCGTTTATCTTGTAAATATGAAATATAATAGGATAATCTTAAATATATTTTGCATTTGACTATGGTCATAATGAAAAGTTAGGTATTCAGTGTTGCATATATATATGTAATGTCCTAACCTAATGTTTTCTATGAATCAATGTTTAGACTGTTGAATGCTGTATAAGAGTATATGAATGAAGAACAGCTCAAAACTCTGTTATTTAGGTGAATTCCAAAAATACATTTTATATATTTGATGTTGAAGAAGTTGAGATTTGTTGTAAATCATTTATGTAGTTAACTAAATTCTATTGTAAACATTTCTTTATAACATTATCAAAGGTATCTAAAATCTGGCTTTATAAGATCTTTAATGTTTATTCAATTTAAAAAGATACTTTTGTTTTATATGATGTTTGTTTGAATTGTGAACTTGCTTTTAGAGTGAAGTGAGTTTTGAAATGAGTTAAGTAAAATAAACATTGATGTAATTTGACTATTGTATTTTGATGCCCTTTACAATCAGTGGTAAGGAAGATTTCTGAATCTACCACTATATCTTAATCAATGATTGGGTCACTAAAGTTTTATTTATATTTTATAGACCTTTCTTTCAATTTCTTGATAAAATTGAGATTGAAAGTGACTAAAAATTACATTCATTTGCCTTTCATTATTCATTATTTTACTGAAACAAGAATTCACATGAATCAGGATATACTACACCAATGTTAACATCAGCCTCGTTATTATCAAACGAAGTGAACTCTGTTAGTCCAACTACTTTAAATAGAACTTATACAAATCAGTTTGGGATACCGTCTGGTATTTTATCTGGAGGAACTGGAGTATCTGGTTCATGTAATGTTGGATGTGGTGTTAATAATACATCTATTGTACCTAATCTACCTACAGCAAATACTATTCAATCTCCTCTAACAGTAATTGGTTCTGGTCGACCAGTTAGTCAAATGTCAGATCTCATTTCAGGTAAGGAAATAAATTCATTTATTCTGTTATTATTGTCAAATTTAAAAATCAATAAAACTAACAGAACTGTCAATGAAAGATATAAATAACAGCCTAATATATTTAGGTATTAAACCAATGAAAGAGATAATTTGTTAATAATAAAATAAAGCTTTCAATGATATGAATCTATTTCAAGTTTTGATTTACTTACCTCCAGAGTTCCGGAAAACTATGAAGTCATGGTCATGTACGTTTTAGTCTGTTCACTTAACTATGACTAGGGTTTATATATATATATACTAATCAACACACGATGGATTCAGTCTTTCTATAATGATCATTATTTTCTTGCATAATATATAAGTAAATGCAACTTTCACGTATTTCATTTTTGTAAAATTATTTTTTTTTACAAAATCACCGAGAATTATTTGACTTATATGCTAGTCTGAGATTATACATCATGAAATTGACATTAAGATTCATTATTACCAATTATTTGTAATAGCATTCAAATTACTGACTATTCCAAAATTGTTATGTCTTTATGATCTGTTAACTATAACGTGATAAGATCACCATTTAGAACACTAACTTAGTGACCAGACGAATGACTCGTAAACCAGTATCAGCAGTTCAGAGTCAACTCTGAGTTCTTATTGATACATCAAGATAGTAGCTTCTGGCCTAACTTAACCGATTTAGTTCAGAACACTAATATCAGCCTCCGCTAAATGAATCATGTATTTCACACATGCTGGGTTTATATGCAAACAAACCAGATCACACTATACCATAAAATAGAAAATAATAATTATACAGTATATATATATATATATATATATATATATATATATATATATATATATATATATATAATATTAATCCATAAATAGATCCCAGCGGTTACTATTCACTTATTCTTCGTCCCGATATAACAAAGATAATATTTTTTACAAAGCAAAACAAAAAACAACAATCAAATAATCTTGAACATCTGTTCAGTTCTACTTTTAATCAAAATAATTTTATCACTATTGATAATCATGTCTAATAGAAATATACAAGTATTACTTTTAAATAATGCGATATATCATTGTGTTAAATGACTGTTCACTTCATTATTCGTTATCAATGTGTTATAACTTGTCTTTTGAATGCTTATTGTGTTGGCTCTTTCAATGCTACTTTTTTGTATCTGGTCGTCGCTGAGTGTTATGTCGGAAACGCTTATCACTTTTGCTCGGAACGAGGGACCTCTGCGATTCGCATGATGCGAAAGTAAGAACACAAAGACTAGTATAAGTGAAGATTTATTAACCCAAAAACACGACGACAACCCTAGTAGAAAATACACTCATTTATATATTGACTGTACACCCATTTTGGTTAATAATTAGAATGAAATCACATATATAACAAATCACATACTGAGCATAGTTCATGTCAATGGAATACAAGAATATCGTATATTATACAGAATAAAATATCATACGAGAAAAGGAAACAAATACTACATTGAATAATCACTACATCGAATCAAAACGGAAGTTATCTTAAACAAAACTCATAATGAGTAAATCAATCGAAAATTGACTTTTCTTTTCATCATATCACAATGTAGATAGTTTGGTAATTTTATTAAAGAAAAATTAAGTTTACTAGTATATGATAACATTAATTAAGTTTTTGTAATAAATGTTAACTTACATAAATGAACATTTATCACTGATTACTTTTACTAATCAATTTCAAATAGAACTCTGTGACTAGCTTCCAGATAGATTTCTCATAGTTCTTGTGAGAAGCTGTAACCAACAGAGTGTATTCCGTGTCGAGTGTGAAACAATTATCCATCTCACACAATGAATAAATGGTTGCATAAGATTATAAATCAATTAACCTTAAACAATAACACCGTTGGATGCCAACCAATTCAATGGTCTACATGTTAAGCTTTCTAAGTTTATGTACGAAATCATGGATGTACATTGGTGAGATATCACATACTAGAACAAACCAGTCGCCCAATACTTCCACATTTCTAATTCATAAATTTAACCATTAAAACTTTGTTTCGTTTCATTTATTATTGAAGTATTATTTAAAATAATTACTGAATAATCACTATTGCTTACTGTTATTATTATCATCATTATTCTTATCCCTAACAAGACGTCTATGTGTTTTTGTTTGTAAAAAATAAACTTTCATATTGTATAGAAAACTTTCAGCATAAACTTTACACATTCATATAGAAATGTCTTTATTTTAGTTCACTATTTTATAAAGAAAAGTATAAAAGTATATTCTTTGGAAAAAATAATTGACAATAGTTTGTAACATAATTCTTACCTATACATATTCATATGTATAAAGATATATATATGTGTGTGTACACTTAACTTTAATTTATTTTTGTTTAAATGTTATTGAAAATATTTATTTTAGTTTAAACAAAATATTCAAGTGTAAATGACAAAAGTTTAAATGTTCTTTATCATGTTCAAATGTCAAACTACATGATGAAAGAAACACATATGTATATATAACAGAAATAGGTGGAAAATAACGAAACCAGATTATAACCTTCTTTAAGTAGAAAGCATAAAAAAGAAGAAAAAGAAAGAAAGAAATATTATATATATAAATATATATATATATATATATATATATATATATATATATATATATATATATATATATATATATACATCATATAGGTTTACTGTTCAACATATAAGTAATCAGTTATTTTTTTGAAAAAATATACAAGATGTAATTAATCAGAAATATATTTTTCTGATAGTAACTAATATCGGTCAATTTCTTTTCTTTTGCTTTTTTTCTTTTTTTTGTTTATTTCTTTAAGAAGCGTGAGTTTGAAACCATCACCAGACTTTATCTTGTTTTGTTTTTGTTGTGTAGTTTGTTTTTTGGGTTTAACTAGAAATCAGTATGAAAAAAATACATATTAAGTATGTTATATTACTTAATCGTCATATCAAGAAATATTTTAACCAGCTTTTGTAAGATTTTTTTAAGCATTTTGTTAATAACCAATAGGATCAAACTGAATTCATTCACTATTACAGATCAAATGGATATACTATTGCTTTTTTTGTTGTTTGTTATTTAGTTAACTATTCATAAACATAGTTTAATTACAGCTCAGAAACCTTAGTTCTGTTTTCTAGTGTTTTTTTAAATCAATTATGACTGCTTATCAGTTAGACAAGTTGTATATAGAATGCTCACTAGTGACAGTCTCCAAGAGGTATTTCCTGGAGTTCTAGTTAGAAGCAGTGACCAGTGAAGCTCGACCGGATCTGTTGTGAGATAGCAACACACTGAAAAGAAGGGTGGGCGATGGCGCAATTTTGTGAACTAGTTGAAGTTAGATATTAACAACGTTGGATGCCGACCAGCTCAATGGTCTAGTGGTTAAGCGTTCGCGTGCGCAACTGATAGGTTCAGGGTTCGAATCTCGCGAGGCGGGATCGTGTATGCGCACTACTGAGGAGTCTCATAACAGAATGAAATGGCCATCCAGTACTTCCAGGATTTCCATGGTGATCTAGCTTCAATTGATTCATGAATTCGACCATTAAGTTACCACAATATCCAAACCCCTCTCAAATTATAATAGAATTAGTTGTTGAATGTGTTCAACTGGCAATCATTTAAATAGCGAATAAATAACTGCACTGATTAAATTTATGAGAAACATTCTAACTGATATTTTTTGTACGTCACTTCATGAAACAGTTATGTTTACTTCATTACTTCACTAAATATAATAAAACAAATAAATAATTTCATAAACCCAATATTCCTTATTGTCAGTGACAATCCTTGTAACATTACAGTCGGTTTGAGGAATTCTAATTCTATTAAGTTACATAAAATTGACTCATTCTAAGTAAGTTCTAATCACGACCTCCCCGAATTCGGTAAATACTCTTCAAAATCAATTCTTTTTAAACTTCTAACTATATTTAGTTCATTTTTGTATTAGTTGTTGTAAATAGGAAGAAACATGCATTCTGGATTTCATTACTACCCACTATCTATCCAGAATGGCACTCATTAAATGTCGATTATTTCACTAATTGAATGAATGACATTATCTATAATAATTTACAAATTGTATTCAAAGATATAAAAAGATTCTAAATAATGAATATCACTTAAACTAATCTCTTTGTTAATAATGTTATGAGAATACTATTAATAGGAAATACCGTTACTGATTTTTCCTTTCTGTATTTGTGTTTGTTACGACGTTATTTAGAGAACGTCGTTCTTAAACAAAAATGATGCATAATAATGATGTACTATATAGTGTTTTGAAATATACTATTCATCAAGAATTTTTAAACACTTAACCAGAATTCGAAAATATTCCGCATTATTATTCACCATGATTTTGACTTCATTATTATAACTATTGCAAAATCTAATCGTTTTATAATTACATAATATTTATTCATGTTTAAGATGAGACTATGATTTATATGCGATCGTTCAGAGACGTCAAAGTACCCTTATGAAAATTTACCCACCTACTAGAGTTTTTAAAAAAATCAAAAATTAATGTAAAAAAACAATTTTCATTACGAATCAACATCAACTATAATTACAAAATGTTATCTAGTCATATGAATAAACAAATTTTACGCGAAAATTCAAAATTCTCTATCTTAAATCTGATTGGCTCATTCATTAAATTATATTGTTACCATGTATGAAATTGAAAAAAAACAAACAAAATGAATAAAGAAAATATTTAAGATTAATTTGCCAGGTATTTTGATTAAAATTTTTTTTATTTATATCCTATCAAAAGTATATATATACCTAAAATACATATTCCATCTATTCTAATTCTAAAAGTAGTATCTGTATACAATCATATCTGTCTGCTTATATTCCTGTTCATTGATGTATAATACATGAATAATGTGCCTTATTTGTGTTTTGTTTTCTTTCTTACTTGCTTTTGTTTCTATTTGTTTTTGCTAAAATTTTGTTTTATATCTTAATTTTAACATAAAACTAAATAATCAAACTAAGTAAAGTAGACACTTTATATGATTATCCATTCACCTGTTGTTTACACATTTTATTTATCTAGATATTTGAACAATTGAAATTCTTCGACTTTTTCGTCTGTTGTCTAATATGAATTCTATTGGTAATGTATTGAGATCTAATAGAAATAGAAGTTATATTTTTCTTTTAAAAAATCATGATTAATTCCTAAGTTATTATTAGTTTTATGTTGCTTAATATTTAGGATTATTTAGATTCTTTCAAACATGTCAATCATCTTGTCAGTAATCCATGTGACTTAATATTCTGGTGTATAAATATATATAGATGTTTAACAAGAACTCCTGAATAATTATTTCCAATTTTGAAATTGATAAACTTTAAGTAATATGATAAAGTGTATAACAAGTCTTTAGCTATAGGACATTGTGAAATACGATACGGTGACTTATACGACGCATACACGAGTAACAGTAGCCAAGAGTTCCGATTGGTCCTTTATCTGCTTAGTCCTACCTGTTAAGTCCAGAACGTTAATTTCAGCGTCCGTGATACGAATCATATATTTTAAACATACTGGGTTTATATACAAACAAATTAGACCACATCATACCATAAAATAGGAAATAATAATTGTACAAGATCAAGACAAAAAGAGGTTGTGATTATGAGTAACTGTATCTAATTTATTAAGAATAACTTGAGAATAGTAAATTATATGACAGTAATCATTAGATTAATTAAGAGCTTGTAATAAGAGAAATGTAAATATATATAATTTAGTTACTTGACAGTTATATATTAAGAATGATTGTATCGTATTAGTCCATAAATAATTCCCAACGGTTACCATTCATTTATTCCGGTCAGGTTATAACAAAGTTGTATGCATATCTATCACGGTAGATACCAAATTTTTCACATTAAGTAACATATAAATAAAATGCTTATTATTGCCTTAAAGCATTCTGAATTAAATCAAGAAATATAAGTCAATATAAGAACATTCATTCAAACATATTGATAGTATTGTAAATTTCTTCAAATTAGAATGTTTATGCTGCCATATATCCATAAACATCGTATGGAAATAAATTAGTTTAAGTTGGCTTAATGTAGTCTCTTTTTTTTAGATGATTTCAAGTATTTTTTGGAAAGAATAATGTTACTAACAGAACTCTTTTCAATAATTCTAGAACAGTTTTGAGAATTATTATACTTCAGATATTTATTGTTTTCAATAGTAGTTAATTAACACTAAAAAACTAAAAGGTGGATATTTATTCATCAATGATAATTCAAACCATATTGTTCCCTGTAACAAAAGTATAATAAATAATGTTCATTGTCTATACTATTGCATAGAATAATCTTTTATGTCAGATTTCCTCGTAAAAATATTTCATATAATGGTTGACCCAGTACTCAATGCCAAAAAGTTAGTTACTGTGGTTTACGTCTAGTAATATTTTAAATTAAATTTACCTAATACCTGGAATTGTACAAGGGTTTCATACAACATTATGTTTTTCATCGTACAATAAATGTTATCCTTCTTTTTTATTTATAGATCAAGTTCATTTGTTTGCTACATTGAATCAATTAGATTTAGCTAACTTTCAATCATATTTTTCATCAATTTTGGCTCCATTACCAAATACAAATCCAATTGCAAATGGGATGCATTCCATTGGACAACCTTTGAATATGCCAGAAATAGCTCTTACTCCTGGTATACTTGGTTGTTACCCAACTCCAACAGCTGCTGCTCTACCAATTGTTGGTTCACCTAATAACTATATGTTTTCTTCACCTACAGCTCTTCTTAAAATATCAAATAGACTGCCTGAAGATCAATTTACAACATCAACATCTAATAGTCTTAGTGATATAATTGTTAATCAATCTGATATATGCATGAATAGTAATAGTAACAATGCATCACCAAATAGTTTATCCATCTGTAATGGTTCATTACCTATTGACTCAAATAATAATTATACATCACTTTCAACTCCACTGGATCCCATAAAATCAATTTGTGGTCTACAGAATACAGCATCTTTACTTGGTCTTCCATCCCTGTCAATCAATACAATTTTAAATCCTCAACAACAAAATTCATTATTTTCTTTGGCTAATACAGAAGAGAGTATTATTGTCCGAGAGATGATTATTTCTAATGATGTAATCGGTTGTATTATTGGACGTGGTGGTACAACAATCAATGAAATTAGAAACGCATCTAAAGCACAAATCAAAATATCTAACTGTGAAGATGGTGCAAAAGAAAGAAAAATAACAGTTTCTGGAAAGTTGGATTCAGTAAATTTAGCTCAATTCCTTATAAACAGCAGGTTAGTGATCACATCTCTCATTCTTCTCTTCTTCTTTTATTCTTCACTTATTATCTGTTTCTTAATCTAAATATTATTTACTCAAAGTGAAAATAGAATATTTGAACATAAAAAAGGTTCGAATAACTTTAAATCAAGTGATATATTACACTATGATACATGGCTTACCTTTAGATTTACATTAAGCTTTCCAGCTACAAGGCGGTTCCTTCTTGACGTGTAAGCCCATCATCTGGAATTCTGCATGCGATAGTTATTTGCTGGGCTACTCAGTATAATATATCCGCAGTCCTATATATATTCAGTAAAATAGGTGCTGGTAAACATATCGAATATGAAAATCGACTAGGCTTTTAAAATCTTAAAGTGAGTCATCATAAATTTCCCAATATTATTACTATTATTAATGGTTTTATTCAATATTAAATATTGGTACAATATAGAATTCTCAGCAAGAGGTATTTCAACAAGTTTCTTTTACAAAAACAAGGAAGAGAAAAGAAAAAGGTGAACTTGTACAACTTTTCAATTAGAAACATGTTTAAGAATACATGTTATTGACTAGGTCAACTCTAACAACTTGTTCATCACAGAGTGTATTTGCTGGATACGATATTGTAGAACTTTTATACCTTTGCTTGTGTGCATGAATTTTATTGTAATGAGGTCTCGTTTTATCAAAAAGGTATACAAAGAGAAAGATAAGAATGAAGGGGATGATTAGTATCTGACAAAGTAACACCTATCAGGAGTCTGCAAGACTTTAGATGTCTATGCACAACCATAATAATAATGACCTCAAAAGATTCCACACACACTCCGCTAACTGCCTTTAGCATTTTCCGCAATACAGCAAAGTCTTTTGACAAAATTCCGAGAAAGAATAATGGAGAACAGTAAAGAATAATAAATAATATGCAAGAACTGACAAATTGTAAGATTCAATATCATGGAACAGTTACTGTATCAATGCAAACATAAGATTAGGTTCCATGAGAAGTATAAACTCTTTTATTTTAGATAATCACTTGAACCAAATAAATTTCTGTAGACTTCCTAACGAAATGTATCTTATTCAATACTATTATTGAAGATATCTTACCTGAAACTTCATTCAAATACCATTAAACCTAACAAATTTATAGAATGAATTTAATACTTGAAATAATATAATGGGTATTTAGATTACGTAAACCTTAGAGTATCCTTTAAACAATTGAGATCATGAGTCAATTAAAGCTAGACCACCATGGAAAACCTGGAAGCACTGGATGACCATTTCGTCCTATTTTGGGACTCCACATCATTGCGCATCCACGACCCCGCCCCGCGGGACCCGAACTCAGGACCTATCAGTCTCGGGCCAGGCGCTTAACCAACTAGACCACTTAGCTAGCATCCAGCGGTGTTAATGTCTAACTTCAACTTCAACTTCAATTGAGTGACACATCCACCATTGTCATCAGTGAGTTACTACCTCACAATTGACCCGGTTGAACTCCACTGGTCACTGCTTCTCACTCGAACTCCATTATATACCTCGTGAAGCCAGTCACTAGTGAGCACATGTTGATTAATATCAGAAGGGGTTTTGTGGAGATTGTAGTAATTTAAACAGTTGAGATCATTAGTCAATTGAAGCTAGAGTATCCCTTCATAAATACTTCATTTCACTAAACTGACACAACTCAATGTTTTGACTAAAAAATTTTCCCTAATAAATAGTCAACATGATTATCAGAGACGTTTTTTTAAAGAAAAAAAGAGAAAAATGTTTGATTAGTGTACACAGACTTTATTTGTTAGACGACTAATTAATGCATTACTCTCAATGACTGTATTCTGACATCTATGATGTAATTGAATTGAATGTTACTTTTTTGATTGTTGGGTAAAAATGAAATTGAAAGTATAATTAATTACCTAATCTATCTAGATTTAGATGTTTCTTGAATTTTAATGCATGTTTAGTTGTACTACATTGAATTGCATGATGAATTCATCATTATTTATGCACGTAATTATTTGCAGTATTTTTTTCTTTTTTTTTCCACCACACTCACGTTTTACTTTTATTCATTCTACTACTACTACTGATCATAATACTGATAATTTCTATTTTCCAAATGTCATGCATGTTGGTCTTTCAAATTTGCTCATTGACTCTCTCCCTCTATCTCTATCTCTCTCTCTCTTGCTTACATCCATACAAACATATACACTCAACTACACATATACACATTAATGCTACATGACGTCACATTGAAAAAAATACCATCGACAATATTAATTACATAAAAAATGTTCTTCAACACTTGTTAACCTCAACTTATAATTGTGAAATAATACAAATATTTAAAAAAAAACCCATTGACAATCAGTATTGCAATACATCGAGAAATGTGGGCATTTAATGTTCGATTAGCATCAGCTGCAACTGCTTTAATGACTAAAAATAGTTTAATAATCAATTCATTAAATAAACATTCTGAAAACCATAATAAAATATATTTGTCACCATTGAAGAACAATTGTGAACATATTGATTATAGTTTATTTCAATCAAATATTCCAATGAATACTACAAACACTTCACATATGAATTCATCTTCATTATTGTTACTAAAAGAAAATCTATCACCTGATTTACATGAACAAACAATGGATTGTTTTCAACCAATCTATGAAGATGATAATCAATTGAGTTTAAAATTTAAATCTAGTCATCGGTTGACCAGGAGATCAAGAATAATACCTTACTAAATTTTAATTAAAAATTTAGTTTAGTTTAGTTTTGTTTTCTTAACACTTCTCAAAGTTTAATATTGATTATTTATTAAATATGCATGTCATGTCATGGGATATTGCAATGCATCCTCATATGAAATTAGTGATGATTTGAAAATTACAATGCATTGATATATTGAATAGATTTTATCTGTTTTCCATTACATTTGGAATGCAATTAAAATCTGTTTCTTCCGGTGTTTAATAAGCACGAATGCTGACTGTATATAACTATTATTTTAATGTATATTCAACAGTATAAACTACATAAAAGTCATTGAAGTCTATTACAGTTTCATTGTTTTATGGCGATTCATAACAGGTATAATAATAATAATAATAATAATAGTAATAAATATTATGTCTCAAAAAGGTACTCATTAATATACAAAAGTATTGCTAACCGTCGATGATACACATTTATCTTAACTTCGCTAATTGAAACAAACCATTTCAATGATAATTGATAAAACATATCAAAAGAATAATCACTATTTCCTGGTTTTGTCATTGTGTACTCTCTTTATTGTTTAATTTTACTTTATGGTAACAACTACAGTTAATAATAATACTAATACTAATAGTAATAATATTAATAGTAGTAAAAGTACTTAATTCCAAATTTATTTTATTTTATTTCGCATTACAAAAACGATCCATATGAATGCAAATATTGTATCTAATTATATCTAAATATATACATATATATACATATTGATATGAAAAAGGATTTCCGCGGAATTATTGGCCGGTATGATTGCCTTTGTCAATTATTAATATACAATGAAAATCTGATACTATCATCTTTTATTTACAGTAACATACGTATATATATATATATATATATATATATATATATATATATATATATATATATATATATATATTGCTCATAGACATTCATAGATGAAGAGATTATTCAATAGTACTGAATGTCTCATTAACATAGTATATATTATAATATTTGAAGCAAACGTAATTGATTCCATTCAAATTTTTTTAATTTTACAACAATATATACATAGCAACAATCTTGCACAGTAGTTTCATGATAGTGTTATTAGACAAGTACATATATTATACAACAAACAAAACAACTTACAATAGGATGCCATATTTGTTAATTTGATTTTTTCATAATTTTGAACATTATACTATAAAATAGAAAGAAAAAACAAACAAAACAAAACAAAAACCATGGTGAATTGTGCATGAAGTCTTTGATTACTTTTATGAAATAAAAGAATTCTATTGTCTTCACTTGAATCGATTACATAATATTTCAATATTATTCATTGTGTAATGATCAAATAAATTGTCATTTAAATGTATAGTCATTTTGTATACAATTTATTTGACAGAAGGATCGTAATTATTAAAAACAAAACAAAACGAAGCAAACAACACACACACACACAAAACAAACATGTTTATCTCTAACATTCATTTGTTGATTCTCATTAGAATGATTATACTTATCAAGTGCCTTTTTCTTTTTGTAATCAATTTCATCAACAGATTAATGATATCGATAAGATCAATCAAATCAACAATTAAATAAACGGATCATTTTGTTGTTGTTTTTTGTTTTTTTTCTGTATAATTAATCAATATGCAATAATATAGGTCAGTTAAAATGATAATTATTAACTGTCCTGAAATCAATAATCATATTATAAAAACATGTTTATGAAAATGAGATAAAACTTCTAATAACAACAATAACAATAATGGAGTATTATTTTGGTTGCTAAGCTTTTAATATAATTAAAGTAATTGCCATTATGATGATGATTATTTTCATTTCAGAAATCAACAGATTTAAATTATTTACAAATTAAAACAACATAGATCATCTGTTGATAACTAGATTTTCTTTTCTTTTCTTTTCTCCTTCTTTTTTTTATTTCAAATAAATAAATAAATAAATAGAATGTAATGTGTTTATATGGAATGATTTCTTAATTACTTCACTATTAACAACAATAATAATAAGTAGGTAATTAAATGATTCATTAATTCATTCGTTGATTAAGTAGCTAGATAAGTTGTTCATAGGCTTGAATGTATATTTTTACCTTTCTTTTTTGTTTATTCCCTCTTTCTTTTTGTCATTTGTTGTGTTCTCTTAATTTCATTGAAAACAAAATCGATTGATTGACGAGTTGTCAATTAGCTAGTAACAGAATCAATTTACTTTCAATGGTTAAGACCATGAGTCAGTTGAAGCTAGACCACCATGGAAAACCTGGAAGCACTGAACGGCCGTTTTGTCCTACCGTGGGACTCCTTAGCAGTGAGTATCCACGACCCCGCCCCCTGCGAGATTCGAACCCAGGACCTACTGGTTTTGCGGGCGAGCACTTCACCACTCGACCACTGAGCCGGCATACAACGGTGTTAATGTCTAACTTCAACTAATCCACGAAATTGAGTGACACATCCATCATTGTCATCAGTGAGTTACTATCTCACAGCTGACCTGGTTGAACTCCACTGATCACTGCTTCTCACTCGAACTCCAGGATATACCTCGTGAAGCCAGTCACTAGTGAGCATATGTTGATTAATATCAGATGGGTTTTGTGGATATTATAGTAATTTCAATGGTTAAGATCATGAGTCAGTTGAAGCTAGACCACCATGGATGTTAATTATACTTTAGGTATTAGGGAAATAATTTAGTACACATTTAAATAGTGATAAATCAGAAAATAGATAATTCTATGCCAAATTCAAATGAGTGGTAATAATTCAATGAAAAGACATTGTTTATTTGTACATTGTGTACATGAGTGTTCTATGCGTTCAAGAATATAATTAATGAAATATGCTTATTTATTTAAATTTATTAGTGAAATACGAAATCATTATGATAAATATAAGGTATATGGTATAAAATTATTAAGTCGGAAAAAATCTACCATCTTGATAATTTTCCTTGTTTCTTGATCACTCTTGATTTGAAGTACTTAGTCCATTTGATAAAGTTAGATTGTGTAATAAGAAGATGACGTTTATTAGAACTATGTGACATATATTAGTGCAATACATTTAAAAAAATCTAATCATACATATAGTTGTTAAGAGTATATATATAAATATAAAAGGTTAACTAGACTAGAGATGGAGAGTACGAGGAGACACGGATAATAAAGAAAATAATGTGAAAACAATTTGAAACCTCGTCACTTTAAATAATGATCTAATATTACTAGGGTAGGTTTAAGGTGAGAATAAATTATTTTTAAATACACAAAGAGGATTTGAATTTTCGTATGACTAGGGCTTCAATAAACCTTGGTGTATACCCTTTCACACTTTTGTACAACACTACAAAAGCCGTGTTTAGATCGATCTTATGATCCGTTTCAATTATGTGTTCACCAATAGAGGATGATGGATGTTTATCATCTACTCTTATTGAGTCATTTGATTTTACGTGTTTCTACAGCCATTGGGTATGTGTTCAGACGCCCTAACTTGGAGATCACGATTAATCCTCCCTATGTATCTGTTTTTTTCTGGTAATGACCCCAAGTACGTACTACGTTTCGCTAATAACCAATTTAAGCTTTTTTTCTATAAAAGGCTATTCGAATCATCTCCAAACGGTAAGGTGATGTAGATGGACATTTTTGTGCCAAGGCTATAGTAGGTCTCACTATACCATGACCTTTCCATCTATTTATGAATTTTAGAGGATGGCTATTTTCCATTGTTTAACAACCTAACATCGTCATCAAAAGCGTCGATTAATTCTGTTGGAAAGGCCTCTTAATTATCCCCGTTCTTATTGCACTGGGTAGTAACTATAACCATTAATACACTTGCCTGTCCTATTTGGTTTTCTGAAAATGGATCGTTTCATCAAACCGTTTTATCGTTTATTTAAAAATACAGCTAAGAAAGGAAGCTGGTCGTTCGTTTCCTCATCATCTAAAAGACTGATGTAGATACTCCGGAACGTAGAAGAAGTATCTAGAGAACATAGTGTAGAATATATATTAGAATGTACTATATATAAAAGTCATGGGGCTATTCATCATTTTGCTATTAAGTTGACAGAAATCCAACCCTCTTTATGATGTCAGAAATAGACTAAGGAACTTCAAGGTTTAAAGCTGCTATTTCTGATTCAGTGTCCTTACTTGATCATCTAATATTAAATTCATATTTGCTCGTTAGTTCATGGTAACTTCCTTTAACAATCAAAGTTCAACAAGTAATAATCCTACCTATAGTAGCCCAACATATTTATAGATGTATCTGATCATTAATAAAATCACTATGTTCATTGTTTGATTTAGCAAAACCAGTGAAATCCATCATGAATTCATAAAACTAAGCGACCGTTTAGATATTTTTGAACAGGTTTCTTGTATTGGTTTCGATAAAATTGGTCACTTCACTGCATCACCAATTTCATTAAAAGTAAATTTTAGACAGGGAAATATTTCTTATTATGTTTGAGAATTCCTAATAGTAATATCTAGAGATCAACTGACTAGTTAGGTAATCATTCAAGATAATATGACTGACTGAAGCCTTTCAATACGATCATTAATTTTCATTCTCGTAAAGAATGTCAACTTCATTTACAAGGAAAATATATTAATATGACAAGTCACAAAATCGATGTCAGTAACAGCTAAATGATACTAAAGTATTACAAAAAGTCGAAATATTTAACCCGTCGTTTTGATGAGCAATTTACCCCTAAACACTATCCATTAGTTTAGGACTCTTCTTGAATTTATATCCATAATCTCATGTAAGAACAGAGTCTCAAACTTCAGATCTTCGACCAATTATCAAGCACTCACCGTAACTTTATTGGTTTCCAGTTGCCCTTGAAGTGATATCATATCGTGATTAAGTGAAAAGATTTTTAGGGCTTTTTAGTAAAACTTACAAGCGATACGTAACCACAAGTTCATTATTATTATCATTGTTAATAATAATAATATCATTATTATTATTAATTTTATTTGGTAACCGCAGACAGGATACATTTAGAAAATCAGTCAACTTCATCAAATGTAACATTCAAGCTCCTACTCAAAGTATTGTGTATTCTTGAAACTACCTCCTGAAAGATATATATATATATATAAAGCAACTCAATAAATAGGGATGTATCTATCTATTTAGAACATTATTTGCCACTTATAACAAAGTGATTGAGAATCGGTCCAACTGTCCGTGGCTAAAATGAAACCAATTCAGTAGATAAATTTCAGTCTTCATAAGATCATTACTGGTTATAAAAAAAGTGTATTTTATTCATACATACAATATTGTGTACTTGCGTTTATTCATTGAAAAATTTAATTAGATGAATCCAG